TCACTTGTCAACATATGGCCTCGGTTGACGTTAACTTAAGGTCGTTGTTTTACTGCCTTAAAATTGAAGGGAAATTTTTACAGCGTTTTTTATGTGTATTGGTTTCTATTTGAGTGTATTGAGAATCGGTCAGTCTGAAAAGGCCTTGTAGGGAAGACAATAGGTTTGTTCGTCGAAAATCCAGCGAGAATTATCACTCAAAATATCAGATAGTAAGAAAAAATGCTCCCGAAATTTCTCTCATGTAGAGAAACTTGCAATTTTCTGTACGAACGCAAATTTGCAAGTTTTTCTGCCAGCGAGTGTCCACGGTTGCATTCCAAACAAAAGAAATTTGTATAGAATTTTATATCTTGTCAGTCCGACTTTCTTCAACATACGTTTGAATTTTTTTGTCGGGTTTACTATATCGACTCTGGTTGAGGTTGCATTCCGATTAAGTATACAGTTTTTTTTTTGCCGAGTACCTTTCAAATCATTGGCATTAACTAAATTAATTAAGTAAACAAGTATTAACTTACATTTTTCATTTTAAATCGCTCCAGTTTGTAAATTTTTAAATTTAACGAACTTTTTTATTCAAATTATCGTCTACAAAAAATCCAACCATGCGCCACAATCATATGTTTTTCCTAATTGCAAATTCTTGCCGGCAAAATTTTTTCCAGCTCGAATTTGTAACTTCTCTCCAAGAAATAGTCTTTACTCGTTATTTATTTAAATAAAAGATGTGAAATTTAGTTGAAACATTTTAGCCGTTTTTAGCCGGTTTTATTTGCCAATTTAGCCGGTTCGCCCAAAAAGTTCTGGCAACACTGGTTGTGAGGCGGAGTGTTAAAGCATACTTTTACAAATAATTCGTATTTTACCAAAATGGATGTATACAATTAAAGTCTTTTATACACAAAAATACATATGTACCTATGTATACGAAGCATACATATTGAATAATCTTTATTTTATTCATAGTCGAATGATTCCGTTGCAATAAATGATTCTGTTCATCTATACCCAAATTTCAGATTACCAAAATAGAGTTAAACTTTTAAATAACTAAAAAAAAATTAGACACAGAAATCATTCATGGACTATTTTTATTTTATTTTGTAATATTTTATTTTGTGAAAATTTACAATTGAGTCAAACCCAGTGAAGTGGGCCCCGAAATTTCCGCCAAATCACCGAATTTAATAATACATTTATTTTTGGATAGGGGATCCGTCACGTGCTTAAGTTTAAAAATTAACAAAAATCGGAATATAATAAAAATATTCATATCTAGCGTTTAAGTACGTGACGGATAACCTATGCAAAAATATTTTTATTATAATCGGTGATTTTGCGGAAATTTTGGCGCCGTCTTCACGTGGCTTGACTCAATTCCATTAACAGCGTAAGCATTTTCAGCTATAAAATTTGTAAACCAGTTTTGGTACAAACTATACTACTATGTACATTATAGTGGTTCATAAAAACCCTCTTTTTGGAAATTCATAAACGCTACATCAGAATATTGTTATTTGTGATAAAAAAAAGACACGTATTTTTTTATTTAAAAAAAAAAAGTTTTCTTAGAGGTCGCGCTGGTCGGTTTTTTTACAAAAACGCTGATGTTCTCAATTTTTTTTATTTTCTTGACATGTTAAAATCCAGCTAGAAATGTGGTTTTTACATATAATTACTCTGGTATNCTAAAAATTTGTTTTTTACATATAATTACTCTGGTATTATTGGGGAACATTCCCTTAATTACATACCTGTCTTGGGCAGTTAGAATGGGCCTAGTGCCCGAAAATATGCTCTCGAAAAGAGACTAGTAAAATTAAAACGTTGATACTGAAGGATTTACGCATTGTCATGGGTTTGAACTTGTTACCAGGGGGTTTCCGGGGTTGCTAATTAGGAGTCTGAAGTCCGTTTTTCGAAATTCAAAATGGCGGACCCGAAATGGCGGTCCATATTTTAAAAAAATGATTGGATTTGTTCGAAACCCGGCACTCGAGAGTTTTTGGGGTCGCCGATTATGAATCTGAAGTCAATTTTTTTTAATTCGAAATGGCGGATCTAAATGGCGACGAACTTAAAAAAAATGATTGGATTTGTTTGAAACTCTTAACCGCTATTTTGAATTTTGAAAATCTGACATCAGATTCGTAATCAGCAACCCCAGAAACCCACTGGAAACGTTTTTTAACCCTTGACAATATTTAAAACGTTCTACGTTTTAATTTTAATACTTTTTTTTAATTTGATCGCCATATTGGATCCGCCATTTTGAATTAAAAAAAGTGACTTCAGAGTCGTAATCGGCGACCACAAAAACTCTCGAGTGCCGGGTTTCGAACAAATCCAAACATTTTTTTTTTAAATTTACCGCCATTTTGGTTCCGCCGTTTTGAATTTTGAAAAACTGACTTCAGATCCCTAATTAGCAGCCCCAGAAACTCCCTGGTAACAAGTTCCAATGCATGAAAATGCGTAAATCGATCAGTATCAACGTTTTAATTTTACTAGTCTCTTTTCGAGAGCATATTTTCGGGCACTAGGCCCATTCTAACTGCCCAAGACAGGTATGTAATTAAGGGAATGTTCCCCAATAATACCAGAGTAATTATATGTAAAAAACAAATTTTTAGCTGCATTTTACCATGTCAAGAAAATAAAAAAATTGAGAACATCAGCGTTTTTATAAAAAACCGACCAGCGCGACCTCTAAGAAAACTTTTTTTTTTTCAAAATAAAAAAACACGTTTCTCTTTTTTATCACAAGTAACAATAATTTGAGGTAGCGTTTATGAATTTCCAAAAAAAAATTTTTTTGAACCACTCTAATGTACATACATATATTAGTGTTTAAATATAATAAAATATGAAATATCCACCATATATGCATGTCAAGCAATAACTTAGCTATTTTATTTTCTCCATAAAATACCAATAGTAAGAGTGTTCAGTAAGTAAAGAATCCTTATTTGACACATTGCACAGATTTCAATACAATTATTTTGCATTGCCTTTCATTTCCATTGCTTTTCATTGCCACGGCTTTTATTGCCTTTTCACACAATATATCGAGCCCTAACCGCCAAAATAACATAAGCGAAATTTTTTTCAAATTTTTTTATTGATGCAGAAATATTCCTCGATTATCTAGATACATTTCTGCAACAAAAAGTAAATATTGAAAAAAATGTCGCTTACGTTATTTTGGCAGTTAGGGCTCGATATGCTTTCGGCGCCAATGCTTAGAGAGAAACAGGTTGTGCTGCGGCATGTATTGCTCATTTCTCTCTGTGCTCTTGCAGAGCATTGGTGGTTGAAAACAAAACATTGCATTGCTATGTTAAATGACCAAACGACCTGAAACTCGCTGTAAGTCGACTTGTGCACCAGTCTAGTATTTATGTATGTCCGTTGGCAGTTTATTAGAAATGATATAACTTTTAAGAAAATAAAACTTATATTATTTCAATTTTTAAGAAAATTAAAAATTTGCCTACTTACTACTTTCCTCTAGTTTATGTAGCGATGAATGTACGTAGGTATAGATGTTTGTTTTTGCTCCTTTTTGCTCGGGGGCTTCTTGTGTCTGGTGTTGTTGTTGCCGCTGATGCTGTTGATGGCTGCTAATGCTGCTATGCTGATGCACGTTGGCTGATGTACATAGGTATGTATCAGAGATCAGTTGCGGTGTATCACAATTTCGAATACACCGCAACGACATTCATTTACTGTACCACTCAAACTCAATAATACTTTGTAACGAAATCTACCGCCACCGCAAGCTCAAATAATGTCGTGTTTGAGTGTTTTGTGCTCGATCAAAGCGTCGTTACTGCATATTGTGGCACCGCATTTTCATGTCGGCTTCGGCTATGCGGTGGTATGAGCGGTCGTTTAAACAACGCAAACATCGCACCACTTACGGATATGCTTGTTTGAATGCGGTGCATCGCATTATACGAAATAAAAATGAATTGAATTAAAAGAAAATACATATTACATATTTTGTGTATTTAAATTTGACTAATTGTTCATGTTTATTAATTGTTTTGTAACATGCCTACATACAAACTCTGTACGCAACTGTAGTGATAAAATGCGCTGCACAGATACCTACATATGCCCTTATAATGCGGTGCACCGCATTCAGCCAAGCATATCCGGAAATAATGCGATGTTTGCGATGTTTAAACGACCGCTCATACCACCGCATAGCCGAAGTCGACATGAAAATGCGGTGCCATACTATGCAGTAACGACGCTTTGATCATACAAGTCACCGCAAACACGAACGCGACAAAAAATGCGATGCACACAAAAATGGCATTGCTTGCGGTGGCGGACATACTTACACCGCATCGTTTGCGAGTACACTTGAAGTCTCGAAAAAGGCACCGCATGCTGATCACTGGTATGTATGTAACTCGATTCCGTCGAAAAATGTAAGAAGTACAAGCTACGCATCCACGTAGCAAAAACACTTGTTTCTGCTTTTTTGAAACTGCGTAGAACAAACCACTTTTTCGAAAACGTTTTAGTGTAGGTTTTTTGTTTTTTTTTTTTGTTTTTGTGGTAATGCTTGTATATACAGCACTTTGAGTAATTGTTATTTTTGTTACTTCTGTATACGTTTGTACGTATACAAAAAAGGCAAATTTGTTTTTTTTTCGAAATATGTAGTTTTATGTTTATTTATTTAAAATTAAAAAATGTATAATTTTTGTCTTTTTGTTTTTATATGCGTACTGTTGCGGCAGTAGCGGAGTAAAATAAAACGACGCGTGCTTAATGTTTGCTGGTTCATTTATTACTGAACTCATAGACACCTTAACTAAAATGACAAAGCTGAGAGAGTGGATGTGTATTGCGAATATACGTGAGAGGCGCGAACATACCGGCGTCCTTGGACTATTCATCCTTAAATGAGTAGTTCAATAATTTGTACATTAATAAAATAAAGTGTACAACTTATGTGATGCATAAAATATGAGTATATACTACTGAGATTTTTCATCATCTGATAAAATAGGTACAAGCTTTACGATGGGCCTAGTCAACAGGCCTTCGGCAGTTTTGATATCTACTACTCTTGTATAACCATCTTGTCCAGGATGGCATTTGACGACACGAGCTAGCTTCCAATTCGCAGGAGGAATACGTTCGTCCCTCACCACGACCAAGTCCCCTTCTCGTATGTTTTTCTTCGGACGCACCCATTTAGCTCTAGTTTGCAGTGTTGAAAGGTATTCTAGCTGCCAGCGACGCCAAAAATGGTTACGTACGGCGGATATAAGCTGCCATCGTTGATTTATATTACCCTTAAAATCGAGCATTGTAGGTTCGGGTAATGCTTTGAGGGGCTCGCCAATCAAAAAGTGACCAGGAGTCAATGTTTCCAGGTCAGACGAAGAACTCGAGAGCGGGCACAAAGGGCGTGAGTTGACGCAAGCCTCTACTTCGGTGATCAGGGTATAAAACTCTTCGTACGTCAACAAGGTCGATTTGAGAGCTCGCCGAAGGTGGAACTTTACACGCTTAACAGCAGACTCCCAAAAACCGCCCATATGAGGACCGCTTGGGGGATTAAACTGCCAATCTATGCTAGAGTTCGCAAAAAAATGCTGGAGGTTCGGATCGTTCATCGCCTGTTGAAATACTGTCCGTAGATCTTTCTCAGCACCCACAAAATTAGTTCCGTTGTCAGATACGTATGTACGGCAATAACCTCGACGTGAGGCAAATCTTTTAATAACACTGATGAAGGTCTCTGAGGATAAGTTACTCGCTAATTCCAGATGCATAGCGCCAGTCGCCATGCAAATAAAAACAGCTATATAGCCCTTGGTAGACTTTGACCCGCGTCCTTTGGAGAATTTTACGCTAAATGGGCCAGCCATATCTACGCCGGTGACAGAGAATGGTCGGCCTGCGTAGTTAACCCTAAAGCTTGGTAGGTCGGCCATCATCTGTTGCTGTGGAATAGCACCTTGACGTCGACACGTAGTACAATTATGAAAGATTTTTCGAACCAATCCTCGTGCGCCCATTACCCAAAACCGACGTTGTAGTACGGTCTGCATAAGTTGTGGTCCACCGTGCAAGAGGCTTTTGTGAAGGTCATTAATTATCATGATAACGATGCTGGACCTTGACGGTAAGACGATAGGAAACTTGATGTCTGGCGATACAGCGGAGCGACGAATCGTACCACCCGCCCTTAATATGTTGTTGTCGTCGAGGAATACGTTGAGCCGAATTAGTGAGCTGCGAAGCGAGATAGGTTTAGAGTGTTGGCAACACCAGATTTCTTCGTTGAATGCTTCCCTTTGCACCTGACGTATCCAGTATTCTTCGGCGGCACGTAACTCTGCGTATGTTAACGGACCTCCTTGCCTTTGTTTTTCTCGCAAATTGCGTATATATCGCAACCAATAAGCTGTAATGCGTTTCAAACGTAAAAACGACGAAAACCTAGCGAGCATATCTCGCGCTATGAAGCTAGCAGCGCCAATAGAAGCGGTGTGAGTCAGGGTTCGCTTTGGACGCAGTTCCAACTCTGTCGGTGGTATTGATGGTGAGTTAGGCCAGTATTTATCATCCTGCGACAACCAGGGAGGCCCATTCCACCATAATTTATGCTGGATAAATTGCGCAGGTTGCATACCTCTTGATGCGCAATCAGCTGGATTATCGGTTGTACACACATGGGACCAATCTTCCGATGCTATATTCGATTGTGCTGTTGCGACTCGGTTCGCTACAAATACAGACCAGCGGCTGGGGTGGCTTTGTAACCAGGCCAATGCGTTCATAGAATCCGTCCATCCATATATCTTGGATACCAGTCCAGCTAACGATTGTTGAACGTGATGTGCGAGTTTTGAGACCAGAACGGCGGCGCACAACTCGAGCTTAGCTATGGAAATAGAACGGAGAGGTGAGACCTTTGTTTTTGCACTTACCATAGCTACAGTTATTGAGCCGTCAGCATGTCGTGTCCGAGCGTATACTACACCAGCGTACGCCTGCTCTGAAGCGTCTGCGAAGCAGTGCAGATCTGTCTTTGAACCTTCCATTCCGGTTCCAAGCCATCTTTGGATTTTGAGTCCAGAAAGTAATTTTAAATTCTCGCGATGATTCAGCCAGCAAGCGGCGATGTCTTCTGGTACTGCATCATCCCAGTCTAAGCCAAGTTGCCAGAGTCGTTGGAATAACGTTTTGGGGACCAAGGTGATTGGAGCCAGCTTCCCTGTAGGATCGAATAATCGACAGGAATCTGACAAAAGCGATCTTTTGGTGAGATTTTTCGGTGGGGACCCCAATTTGATGTCGAAGTATAAGTAGTCATCCGTGGAATTCCACATTAGTCCTAAAGCGCGTACTGTATCGTCGTCAGCAAGCAAATGAGATATATTGTGCTCTCTTGCATCGAGAGGAATATTGCGGATGACGAATGGCGAGTTTGTTGCCCACTTCCGCAGTTCAAAGCAACCATTTCCAAGTATTCGGGATATTTCTTTGCGCAGACTATTGAGGCTTGTTTCGGATGAGCTACCGGTTAACAAGTCGTCCATATAAAAATCTCGGAGGATGACGGAAGATGCGAGGGGGTAGCATGTAGCGGCTTCTTTGGCTGTCTGCTGCAGCGCTTTGATTGCGAGATGAGAGCTAGAGGCAATACCATAAGTAACCCTTAATATACGAAAATCTTGTAAGGGCTCATGTTTGCTTCTGCGCCATATGACTCGTTGATAATCGACGTGTTCTTCAGCGACCATTACTTGACGATACATACCGCTGATGTCAGCGGTTAAGGCGTACTTGTGAATTTGAAAGCGGTTTAAAATAGAAACTAAGTCTTCCTGAAGTTGCGGCCCGATCATCAAATTGTCATTAAGCGACAGGCCGTTTGTAGTTTTTTGCGAAGCGTGGCATATAGTAATTTGATGAAGGCACGTTACTTACCGGCTCCATATGACCCTGATCCAACATATCTTGCAAGAATGCATGATATTGTTCTCGATGCTCGTTATTTAGCTCAAGCCTTCTTTCCATTCTTAACCAGCATTGTATCGCTATAGCCCGTGAGTCACCTAATTTAATATTTTCCCTAAATGGCAAATGCACGATAAAGCGCCCTTGCGTGTTTCGTCGGTGAGTTGTTTCGAATAGATTTTCACATCTTGTCTCTTCTGTCGTAAAGTAACGAGTCTCCGGTAATTCATCAAGTGTCCACGCCTTTATCACTGCCTTTGTTAAGTCGCGATCTGAATATATGCAAGGAGATGTATTGTTCGATTTATCTAAGGTAGTTAGCTTGCCGAACAGCACCCAGCCAAAAACTGTCTTCTGCGCGATCGGAGTATTAGGCGGGCCCTTTATAACCTCTGTTTCCAATAGCGAATACATTTCATCAGACCCTATAATTAAGTCGATGCGAGCTGGCAGGTAATACTGCGGATCAGCTAATTTTAAGCCTTCAATGTGCGGCCATTTGGAAGAGTGTATTTTCGTCGCGGGCAAAGATTCTGTAAGCTTTGTCAACACGAGAGCAGATAGAGGGAATGTTTCGGTGCCCTCCATTGGCGTCAACAACAATGATGTTTCGCCCTTTACCTTACCCTTTGAGCATCCGATTCCGGACACAATGACTTCACTTCGCCTTTTAGCTAATTGTAATCTTTGAACACATGCTTCAGTTATAAATGAAGAGTGTGAGCCTGAATCAAAAAGAACGCGCAAAACATGCTGCTTTCCGTTGATGTCACATGCTCGTAATTGGGCAGTAGCGAGAAGAACGGCTTGCCCAAAGGTCGCGTCAGAATGTGTGTCCGAAGCGGTTGCTTCTGGTGCGCTTAGTGCGGCAGTGGCAGAGTACGACGAATGCCTTGCAAGTAAGGTGATGTTTGCATTGTCACTATTTTTGGATGATTGTGAATTCGCAGTATCCATCGAAGTAGTGCCGGTTTCGGAATAATGAAGTAGCGTATGGTGGCGATGTCTGCATATTCTGCACGTTGATGCGCTTCGGCACTTGTCTCTTTTATGCATCTCGCTCAAACAGTTTGTACAAGCGTTTTTATTTCGGATTACGTCCTTTCGCGTGGTTACCGGGATTTCACGAAATTGAGGGCATTGATAAATTCTATGCTCACCAGAAGAATACAAACACCGTTTGGAATCCGTCTGACCCCCTTACGTGGCGTGATATGCATTGATTTTGTTTTTGGGTTTTGCTGCAGTCTGTTTCGTAAGCCCAGTATGCGTCAACGCTGCCTATAGCGAGCGACATCGAGTTTCGAGAAATTCCTGCAAAATATTAAGATCTACCTCTTGTTGTTCTCCAAGTGAAAGTTCCCATTGTCGTCTTGTTTCGTTTGCTAGCCTATGCACAATTACGTGTATAAGCCATTCATCCCAATGTTGAACCGG